TGTAGCAAAGAGCAAGTTGCAAGGAGTTCGAATGGTTTCCCCATGAGGGTGCGTAGCCCGAGGTTAAGGTCCCATATAGAAATAGAGTGTTTTAGGGGAGGGTAGATGTTGGTCATGCCCTGAAAGAATTGTTTAGTTGTTGGATGAGCAAAGATCATTGTTCCATCTAGCTTATGTAGTGAGGTAATAGTGGATAAGTGCACCTTTATGGAACTGATGTAGAGGCATGATTTTTTAAGGCCTAGTATATAGTCCAGGATCCTAAGTAGAGGAGCGGAATGAGGAGATGTGTGGGTAGCCTCACACCAGGTGCAGAATTGTACCCACTTTTGAGAGTATATTTTCTGTGTGGTCAGCCTGCAGCTATTCATGAGAATGTCTTTAACTTCCTTGGAATAGTTATTATCCAGCCCCTGTAGCCATAGAGTAACCAGGCCTTGAGGTGGAGAACTGCTAGGTTGGGGTGATTGACTAGGCCATCATCCTGTGTCAGGAGGTGAGGAAGTAGTGGAAGAATTTGAGGCGGTTTCATCGCCATCTGTCATAGGTATTGGAACGACTTCTGTCTGAGCCATATGGGTGTGATGAGTATGACACTGGCCTTGTGCTGTCTGATTTTGTGCAACACCCAGCTCAGTAGAGGAATCGGCGGAATGTGTACATTAGCGGTGCTTCCCATTTTGTGAAGAGAGCATCGCCCAATGAGTGGTGCCCAAGCCCCGCACAGGAGCAAGATTGAGGGCATTTCGTATTGTGAGCTGTTGTGAATAAGTCTATAGTAGGGAACCCTCACCCCGTTGAATACGGTCATGAGGGTTGGGTAGTGCATCTCCCACTCATGGGTTTGTGAAAAGTGTCTGCTTAGCCGTGATATTCTGAAGTCCTGGCAGATAAGCAGCAGAAATGTCTATCTTGGTGGATATGCACCATTGCCATACGTGTAATGCCTTGATGCAGAGAGGGTATGCTTGAGCTCCCCCCTGTCAGTTTATAAAAAACATGCAGGCTGTGTTGTCCGCAAGGACTTTGATGGTATTGTTGCGGATGAGTGGAAGGATATGTTTGCATGCTTTCCTGACTGCTCGGAGTTCTAGTATGTTTATATGGCGGTTGGGGACCAGCATCCCTGGACAGTGTTGCTGTCCAGATGGACTCCCCCTCCCACGAGGAAGGCATCTGTGATGATTGTTATAGTGGGAACTTTTTGTTAAAATTTGACCCCTGAGCAGAGGTTTTGCAGTTGCATCCACCACTTGAGGGAGTCCTTCACTCTGTGGGGCATAGTGAGCCGTTTGTGAATGCTTGTGTGGTATATAACAGGTGAGGAGCCAGGCCTATAGGCATCTCATATGGAGTCTGTCATGTTTGACTACATAAATTGTAGCAGTCATATGCCCAAGGAGTTGTAGGCGGGCCCTGACAGATGTTTGGAGGGTTTCTGATTGTTGTTATCAGCCTGGTTAGGTTGAGGAATTGCTGTTGGGGTAATCTCACTTGTGCTGAGAGGCAGTCAAGATAGGCCCCTATAAACTCTAGTTGCTGGACCAGGACCAAGGTGGACTTTTGGACGTTTATTTTAAACCCAAGGTTGGTGAAGAGGGTTATAGTAGTTTGTTTGGCTTGTACTGCCATATGCAGAGTTGGTGCTCTTATAAGGGCGTCATCCGAGTATGGGAAGATAATTACCTCTAGCCTGTGGAGGTGAGCTGCAGCGACATCTAGGACCCTGGAGAATACCCTTGGGGCTGTCAATAATCCAAAGGGTAGCACTTTGTATTGGTAATGTTGATGGCCTAGTGTGAAGCACAGGAATCTTCTGTGCACTGGATGAATGGTGACATGAAAGTAGTCATCTTGTAGGTCGAGGGATGAGCGCCAATCTCCTTTCTCTAACGCCGGGATTATGGTTGCCAGGGTTACCATTTTGAAGTGTTGCATCAGTACAAACTTGTTGAGTCTGTGTTAGTCCAGAATGGGTCGCCATCCACTGTTCTTCCTCTGTGTGAGAAAATAATGAGAATAAAATCCTCTTTCCCTCTGTTGGAGTGGTACTATTTCCATGGCTCCTAGTTGCAGGAGATGGTTTATTTCCTACTGCAACAGGGTCTTGTGAGAGGGGTCCCTGAAGAGGGATTGGGAAGGTGGGTGCCTAGGGGGAGTAGAAATAAATGGAATAGAGTAACCCTTCTGGATGATTTCCAGCACCCATTTGTCCTTAGTAATGTTGTTCCAGACTGGGTAGCGTGATAGCAGATGGTCTCCAAAGAGACTGGAGGTCATCTGATAATCCGGCATGGGAGAAGATAGAGGTCTTGAGCCCTCGACCAATACCTCAAAAAGATTGATGGGATGTTGAAGATTGAGATGTTGATCCTGGTTCTGCCTGTGCATCATTTGTTTTTGATTGTGGCATTGATCATATTGTCTCTGGGGTTGCGAGTACGGGGCGGGGCGGATTCTTTGGGTATAGAATCTGCCCTGTTTTTTCTTGTTCTGGGGAATGTAAATACCCAAGATCTTCAAGGTTGTTCGTGAATCCTTTAAGGGCAGGTCCTCAACTGTGGCTTGTACTTTCCTAGAGAATCCAGAGAGGTGGAGCCATGATGCTCGACACATGACAACTGACATGGCTATGGATCGGGGTCCCATGTAGGCAGAGTCGAGGGAAGCCTGCAAGGCTCTTTTGGTGAGTAAGGAGCCCTCTGGAAAATTGGCTTTGTATTGTTTCTTTGCTTCTTCTGGCAGTTGATCAATAAAGGATTTCAATTTGTTGAACAAGTTGTAGGTGTACTTTGCTGAGACCTGAATAATTTGCTATACAAAATTGCAATGAGGCAGAGGAGTAAGATTTGCATCCAAAAAGGTCAAGACTTTTCATAAGTCTTGTCATAAGGTGTAGTTTTTGACTGGGGTTGTTTTCCCCTTTAGTGCACTGCCTCTACAATCAGTGAATTAGGAGACGGATGAGTGGATAGGAACTCAGCTCCTTTCGCTGGTACACAGTATTTTCTGTCTGAGCATTTACAGGATTGTGGGACAGTGGCAGGTGTCTGCCATATTGTCTTTGCAGGGTCCATTATGGCTGAGTTAATGGGCAGAGCTATCTTTGCTGACAGGGATGCATGCAAGATGTCTGTTGTAAGTTTGTGCTGGGTCTCTGGCAGCTCTGCTAAAGAGATGTCCAGAGATTCTGCAACTCTTTTGAATAAATCCTGGAAGGACTTGAAGTTATCTCCTGTGGTGGGATGTGATGGCGTAATTGTTTTGTCCGGGGATGAGGACAAAATATGCGTGGGTGGCAGTGTATCACCTTCAGGAGTCTCTTCTGGCTCCCCCTCCTCTTCCTCCTGGGCCTCCAATAGTGATGGGTTAGTGGGTGAATGGGACCGGGTGGCCCTTGGATTGGTGGGGGTTTATGGTTCTGGGCTCTGTAGATTGCCCATGGGTCCCAGTATGGCCAATTGGGTGGCATGACAATGGACGGTGACATCCACGGTTGTGCCTGCCAGCTTTGCTCTTGCAAAGGCAGTTGTTGGTGAGAAGGTCCCAGTTTCGGGGAGGCATGATGAGGGGTTCCTGGCATAGAGAAGATTGCCAGGTCTGCCTGTGTGGTGAAGGGTTGAGGTATTGGGAAGCTTGGTGCTGTGGATGGCAGTGTAGTATGCGCTGATGGTGCCGAGGTCTTGTTAGGCTGTATATATGCAACAGGTGGCACCACGGAGTTCTTCGGCACAGTCGGTGCTGAGCTAGGGAGCTTAGCTTTAGTTCATGCAGCTGAGGGACAGCGTGGCTGCGTCGGTGCCTTGGCTCCTCGCGACGTCTCAGTACCACATTCCCAGTGCCTCTCGGTCCAAGGTTCTTGATGCCATTGGCATTGGGGCAGATTTTTAGGGGGATCTCTGGGGCAATGACTGTGACTGACATTTGGTTGCTTTCTTAGTTGCAGGGTCCTTACCCACGGTTTGGGTGTAGCCCTTGTCTGAAGCTGTTGCTGGAGACCATTTGCCAGGAGGAGTCCTGGACTCTGGGTCGGAGGCTGGCCTGAGGGATTTCTCTTAGTTGGATGTCTCTGGCTTTCAGTGTCCTGGCAGATAATTTTTTGCAGTGTGGACGCTTCTGTGGTATACAGTTTTCCCCGAGACAGCGGATGTACTGAGCATGGCCATCTGATACAGGAATTGATAGCCTGCAGATCTGAGAAGGTTCAGGGCTATAGAAAAATGGCCATAGTTCAGTCACCGTTGGCAGAGACCTGCCGGTGGCAGGGGGAAGCGAACAATTTTTTTTTAAGTGGTTAAATAAGGTCAGGGAACCAAGGAAAACTGACAAAAGGGATAAATAAAAGTGGGAATATAAGCAATTTATTAAATGGATGGGGGCGCTGCTGTTGCTCCGACTCAAGCCAAAGGCAGTAGAGAAGGAACTGCGGGATGGTTGACTGTGCATGCTAAGTAGCTGCTTGGAGTGGCACGAGATGGCTGCCACGCATGCACGGCCAACCAGGGCACTGCTACTACACATCTCTGATTACAAGCGCAGGGCACCAAGACACCTAAAGTGGAGCACCCACAGGGACATTCCTTGAATAACCACCATCCCTTCCTCACCTCTGAGGTAATAGTTGACTTTCCCTTCCTCCGGGTACTGAACAGATGCGTAGACCTTAAAACTATGTAGCATAGTGGGTTCATTCCCTTCTATTCCATGTACATTTCAGGAACATTAAAAAGAGCAGCCTCCTTTTTTGCAGGCTACAGACTTTAGCCCGGAGAAAATTAGTGACTCTTAATCCTGTTTAGCACTTGAATTCTAGTCACTTGTTTCCTATGTACATAACTGTTATTCCTTGAGAGCAAATCCTCATTACTTATCTGTGGACTGGTTTTGTTATGCAAGGTGGGGAAGGTCAGGAATTGGGGAGGCCAGAAAGGGATTGTGCTATGCAGTCAGACCTCAAAGGGGCTCCTTACATAGGCAAGTAAAAGGACTGGGAGTGGAAGAAAGGTTCTGCTTCTACATGGATCATATGCTTTATCTCCCTTTCACTCACTTGGAAAGGGGCCCACTAGGATCACAGAGATTACTTCAACCAATAGTTATATTACCTTTTGCTTATTACACATGCTGAAGTAGCCTCTGTGAAGGCAATCCAGTACTATTCTGCAGTTGGGGAAGGGTGTATTCCTTTCTCCAGTCCCCTGCAGCAACCTCCTGGATCTCCACAGTAAACTTACTCGGCCTGAGTGCTGAGAAGGGGATTTCTCCCGCAAAGCTAAAGTTTTATTTCCCAATTTCACATGAAACAGAACAAAATTATGAATAGGAGACAACGATGAAAGAAAGGCTCATCTGGTTACAATTTCATAAACTAAATCACACATGTTAACACACAGTGGAATCTTTTGTGCTCTCCCCAACATGCTATGCATGCGAGCTAAGTGGAGATTATTCCAGAGTGCATGAACATGTCTCTCACTCACCAGTACCAGGATTTCAATAGATGTGCAGGCACTACAGAAGAAAAGAGTAGGAGGGAGAAGTTAAAAAGGGTAGAGACGGTGTGAAATAGAAACATTTTCAAACAACCTAATTCCTCTTATTTCCCCCTCTGTCTGAGAAATTTACTTATAAACGTTAAACTAGCCCAAGGAGACATTAATTTAAGGGCTATTCCTGAGAGCTGCGGAGTGTCTCCCTCGAGGCACTGAGCATCATGTTGTCAGTGAAGGATGCTCAGCACCTCCTAGGGACACTGAACATCTCACAGGATCAGCCCCATCTCTCGAGCTATAGGATCCAGTGCAAGTTCAGTTATTTTCAACAATTGCTTTATTCCCTAGCCTTAAAAGTCAAACAAAGAAATCCTCATAAATCCCCCGCCTATATTTGCTCTCTATTAGGATCTCCACATGATTTTAAGTACTTTAAAAACCAATAGATAAACCATTTTCTAATTAAGCAAGTTACATAAAGCCCAATGTAGTCATCATATAATTGCTTTTTTCCTAATTTCTGCCATTGACACTTGCTGGTGGGGTTTATTACATGGCAGCAGTAATGGATCACAGGGCTTGTTAACTTCACACCTCAAGGAACTTTTGCCTATGAATACAATACTGCACTCAAACATGGCTTAATATACATATATATTTTCTTCGAAAAAATTCTCTAAATTCTTGGTAGGTGTGTAGAGTCATTGCTGTTAATGTTTACCACTGCTGCAGAAAGTAATATTAAACTCACTTTTTTCAGCTAAACTTTCCAACAGCGGCAACTAAAAACAAAGTAGAGAAGAGGAAATCAGAAAAAAAAAGAGGTAAACAAGCAGGAAGAGAAAGGAGGAAGAAGTGGTAAGAGATGAGAAAGGCGAGAAAGAAAAAAGGAACTTAAAAAACAAACAAACATGATTTGGTATCTGGTAGAAAAGTGCAAGCCTGTTTGAAGCATAGAGGAAAATAGATGAAGGCATGCATCCAAGAATACGAGGAAGAAACAAAAGGAGAAATAAGGAGAGATCATTGTAACCCCTACAGGCTGCAAGGGGGCAATTCCACTATACATGTAGCTAGGTGAATGAATTAATTTGGTGTCCATCTACAACTTTACAGAATTGTTTAGTTTTCTTCAGGGAGCAATTAACTAGGGAATTAAGAGAAGGGAAGAAAAGTTTCTGCTGATATCAACTGACATTAAAAGTATACTAAAAACAAACGCTGATTAGACCAAAAAGAGAAGAGGTTTCTTCCCATTGCATGTCATTAGGCAATAATTTACCATTAGGAAAGTTGATTAGACTAAAGGCTCAGCTGTTTTAGATTAATTCCAGATTGGACAAAGTATTTGGGAATTTGTCCTTCTGATATATGTGGGCAAATCATCCTTTTTAAATGTGTTCACCAGCAGTCACTTGAGATCACAGTTTGGCGTTTTGCTAGGTCCTAAGCTACTTTTAGATCATAAAGTAGCAGTAACCAGGACTGGAGCCAGAGGCAGTTTAGGCCAAAAGTTTCTTTTGCAAAAACTGAACAGTGAATCAAAGCCCAATATCTATGATTAAGATTATATTTCTCCAATGGCCAAGGAACCTTTAAAAAAATCATTCAAATTTTAGTTTAATGACATTTTTTCCAGAACTGTTAGAACCAGGCTGCTTACAGCCACACCACTTGATCACAAACTAACAGTTCTAAGCTAAACCTAAAACACCTGTAGCAAGTGTCACAGAGTACACAGGCTCGGTGTTCTAGTACGGCTCTGAATGAATTCAGATTGGACTCCCTGGCAGTGTCTTCCCCACCACCTTCAGGGCACACTCTCACTAGGGGCAAGCTTCCTTGGGTCTGACCATTCAGCACCCCTGTTTCACACCGTGAGCTTCCCACAGCGAGTCCACCTGAAGTCCCAAAGGGGCCATGCACCCCAACTCAGCCAGCGAGGTAAAACAGAAGAGGTTATTAGTTGTCTGGAACACAGCATAGAACAGATCTTATTAGCACAAAAAGCAGGAAGTTACAGCAAAGTCCATTTGGTGGTGGATCCAGAGCTCACCCACCTTGAGTGACAACCAGGAGATTGACCTGGTCATCTGGCCTCCATCTCTCACTTAGTTCTCCAACACTTCCAGCTGATTCTTGTAGAGGATTTTAGAGTAGCAGCCATGTTAGTCTGTATCTGCAAAAAGAACAAGAGTATTTGTGTCCATTTTATTGATCTCTATCAAGCATTCTTAAAACTACAGTACCCACCTGCTGATGTGAAAAACAGATTGACAAAGCCAGAAGAGTACCCAGAAGTCACCTACTACAAGACAGGCCCAACAAAGAAAATAACAGAACGCCACTAGCCATCACCTTCAGCCTCCAACTAAAACCTCTCCAGCACATCATCAAAGATCTACAACCTATCCTGAAGGACAATCCCTCACGCTCACAGATCTTGGGAGACAGACCAGTCCTCACTTACAGACAGCCCCCCAACCTGAAGCAAATACTCATCAGCAATCACACACCACACAACAAAAACACTAACCCAGGAACCTATCCTTGCAACAAAGCCCGATGCCAACTCTGTTCACCTTCACATCTACCAATGTGATATATGTCATCATGTGCCTACAATGCCCCTCTGCCAGGTACGTTGGCCAAACCGGACAGTCTCTATGCAAAAGAATACATGGACACAAATCTGACATCAGGAATCATAACATTCAAAATCCAGTAGGAGAACACTTCTCTGATCACTCAGTAACAGACTTAAAGGTGGCAATTTTTTAAACAGAAAAGCTTCAAAAACAGATTCCAACGAAAACTGCTGAACTGGAATTAATTTGCAAACTAGATACTATTAACTTGGGCTTCAACAGAGATTGGGAGAGGCTGGGTCATTACACAAATTGAATCTATTTCCCCATGTTAAGTATTCTCACACCTTCTTGTTAACTGTCTGAAATTGGCCATCTTGATTATCACTACAAAAGTTTTTTTCTCCTGCTAATAATAGCTCATCTTAATTAATTAGCCTCTTAGAGTTGGTATGGCAACTTCCAGCTTTTCATGTTCTCTGTATGTGTATATATATCTTCTTACTATATGTTCCATTCTATGCATCTGATGAAGTGGGCTGTAGCCCACAAAAGCTTATGCTCAAATAAATTTGTTAGTCTCTACAGTGCCACAAGAACTCCTGTTCTTTTTGTAGAGGATTGGCCCCCACCATGAGTTGCCAAGATACAGAGTTTCGGCCATTCTCTGTACCAGGCACCCAGATGGCAGTCACACCTGCCATATAGGGGTCTCTGCAATGCTCACATACCCTGTCTCATCACCTAGATATCTGAGTAATACATAGGGGAAACTGAGGCACACAGTATTCAGATAAAACATTAAGCACATTCGCACTTCATCACAGCAAGTATTTCAGGAAATCATGCTGAGCATTGAGAAATAGGCCAGGCACCAACTTCCATTGGCATTCATTTTCATTGGTCAGCTTTAGTCCTCCAGCCTCAATCCAGTTCCTTCCAGGTCTGAAAGAAGTGTGTTCTCTCTGTCAGGGCAGCTACTTTCTGAAGCCTGCTTCCTTTCCTTTATTTCTTGCTATCGCCTGATTATTTAATATAGCCAGGATTTTCTCTCCAGGCTTGATATTTCTGGCATGATTATCTGAAATTCCTCTTGTTGGCTCAGACTATAATTCCTTCCTGCCCTGCCCCACTCTTGTGTTTGCATACCCCAGTTCCCAAACAGAATGCCCCTTAGAATGGCATCTTCAGGCCCATTTGGGAAAAACAAAATTCCTCCCTTCCAGGGAAGAAAAACACATTCCACCACTATATTTCACCTGGGAGTGTAGGACTGAAGGGCCAAACCATTATTCAGGTATTGACCTTTTTCAGGCTATTCAGACATCTGAGAGAGTCATAGACCACAACTAAGATGAACTGGTTACTGAAGAGACAGTAACAGTCCTGTCACCTGCAAGGCATTCCTTCTCAATCACACAGCAAGCTTTGTCCCTTGGAAATGATTTGGAACTGTAATAGATGCTTTGCTATATTGTCCTCCTAGGAGAATACAGCCCCTATTCCTCCTCAGGAGTGTCTGTAATAGGATTCCTTTATTGAAATAACATTTATACAAAACAAACTTACTATGCAGGTAGTCCTTAAGAGCCTTTTCACAAGGTTCTGTCCACTAGACCTTTTTAGAGGCTGCATTCTGGGTTAAGACAGTATCAAGGCTGCTACATGAACTCTGGCACAAATCTCCTACAGTAACCTACAAGACCCAGGAAGGAGACACCCTCACTACCGAGATACAGGCCTTACAAAACTGGTCATAAATCGGATAATTAAAGTACAAGTTTATAGAACAAATATCAGGGTACAATTTTTTTTATTTTTTTTTTACTTATTGTATATGTGGTGGGATTAGTCATCACATCGTCCTCCTTTAACTGGGAGAATATTGCCCCATTGTTAGACTACTATATAATCCAAATGTGTTGCAGTATATTAGCTGAGTGGTTAAAGAACTTGTCCATTAACCTCTGAATGGTTACAGGAGTTCCATGCTGCCCAATAGTTTGTGAAAATGAAATAACCTCCATGTTAAAAAATGCTATTTTCTACCATTATGAATGGGGTCTGCCAGTAACCTAAATAATGAAGTATCATGGTTCTCCAGCTCATTTATCAACTGGAAACATTGGGACATGGAGTATACAAGCCAACAGAAATGGTATTTACTTTACTCTAATGTAGCCATCTGGGTTAGAAACAAAGACTATAGGGCTTTGCCATACATTTTGGGATGCCTCAGTGATTACTAGTTAAGCGTAGACTTACCACCACTTGGATTTTTCTCAGGAGTTGGTGAGAATTCAACCTATCCCATTTTCCTTTATCTTGCACAGGGCTTTTGCCTCTCAAACTGTAGTTTCAACCCATTCAAAAGGGCAATTATTGCAATTTTTGCCTTACTATCAAACTGTATTAGGTACTCCTGAGCTTGGCTTGCTCCAAGTAAGTGTGGAAATGAAGTTTGAAGGTACTTTGAACTGGGAAGCATTGAGCACTTTGTGAGCTGTGTGTAGGTGGCAAGAAATTAGTTCATGGAGTCTTCCTGTACTCAACACAGCATGAGATGAGCACTGCCAATTTTATCGTTCAACTGCAAGAATTAATGCAAAGAAACTGCAATGGTAACAAAAATCACTTTTCTTCCTTAGTGACATAAACTTTAAGATAGAGAAGGTTAATCCTGCACAAGTCTCAGACCTGTGCTTCTACACCACAGGAGTGTGCTTGTCAGAATTAGTTTGCTGTAAAAAGTACATGGTGGACAAAGAAAAAAAGCTGAACTAAGGCATATTATTTGAGAAGAGCCCTGCTTTCCACCTGTTTCCACTGAGATTGTTTACAGACTTGTGCTGTAGCTCTGCTAAGGGAAAAATAGCTGAGTTTTCAACATGCATTTATATGCTCATCATTTCTATAATATTTCATGACCTTGATTAAAAAAGCCTTGTCAGAAAAGAACAACCCTAAACATTATTTTTCTTTGCTGTAAATTTACACTGCTCATACTGTGTCAGCATTTCAGTAACAAGGACTCAACTCAGCACTGGCAGAGAAGCCTAGCATACAATTAGCTGTTGGAAGGGGAAAAGGCTCCTTATATATGTAAATGTGCAAATAAGCATGTCAGTCCCACTGGCACTTTATAAATTGATTTCCTTGGAAAATACAGTGGGCTCAGTGGCACAAATGCAGAATAGTTATAAAGCATATGTGTTCACATCATCCCTTCAAAGTATTCTAACCCTTGGATTCTAAGGGCAATTAGGATGCTTGCAAAGAATGACTCAGACCTCTGCACTGCCCAGAGTGGCCCCAAATCCCCTCTCCCCTTGGACTTGCTCTGGGAAAGAGTTCTGACCTAGTTACACATTGAAGTTACCCTGAATCCTCCCCGGCTTGCTAGAGCACTCCCATCAACTCTTATCCAAATCATGGAAAACCTTCCAGCCCTTGAAATGATTAACTTAAACCTACATATTGATCTATCATCTAAGGACTAAAGCTTCATGTTTTGAGCCTTGAATATATCTATTTCAACTCAAACTCATTGAAAATTAGTCTCTGCATTGCAAGATGTGTTATATATGAATCATTCCTATTGTACTAGATATACTGGACAGTAGGGCCATCCCGGGGGGCGGTGTGCGTGGCCTGGGACGTAGGTGCAGAGTTTCTATCTGCCGGGTGGTGCTTCCCCCTGGCTCCGCCCCCACTCCACCTTTCCCCCAAGGCCCCACCCCACCTTGCCTCTTCCGTGCCCAGTTCCGCCCCCTCCCTGAGCACGCTGTGCCCTCACTCCTCTCCCCTCCACCCCACCGCCAGCGCCTGCAGACCCTGCAAAACAGCTGATCAGTGATAGGCGCTGGAGGGAGAGGGAGGTGCTGATTGGTGGGGCCTGCTGGCAGGCAGGAGGCGTTGGGGGGGATGATGGGCAGGTGGGGGGGGGGAGGAGCCCCCCAATCCCCTGCCTGACCTCCCTACCCATCTCCTCACGAAACATGGGGTCGCCCAAAGCCTGAATCCCGGGGCGGTCACCCCAATTTGCTGTACCTTAGTGATGGCTCTGCTGGATGTTAGCAGTTATTTACTGTCCTTGGGCCAAATTGTGCAGTGCTTAGTCCTTAGTGTTGGCAAACACCTACAGAAATCAATGGAAGCTTTATCTGAGGAAGGAGTACAGGTTTCATTTGGATACAAAATCACTTACAAGATTGGATTCCACAGTGCTTGGATTCAAAACTTTAAAATTCTAGTCAGCATGAATCTGGCTGAGAAAAAATAATATTTAATGAATAGTCTTCATCTGTACCATCTGATGGCTATTATAATTACAAACGTAAGTGGCTGGAGCAAAATGAGAGCTGGGTTATATGCAAAAGCTTTAGTTGAGTATACTGAAATAGTGGGATTCTGAATGAAGCTGTCCAAGTATTGTATGTACTACCAAAAGAAATGGAATGGGTGGTGGAGCAAAATACCGTATTAAGTAGTGATGGACGAAACAATATATTTTCAGGTTTGGTTTCAGTTAAGACTGAACATTTAAATGTTTATTGAAATTTTATCCAAAAGGTCTTGAAATCAGTTTTTCTTTCTTTACCTTCCCTCCTTTGAAACAAACCACATTGTCT